CCCCAAAACCCCAAAACCCCAAAACCCCAAAACCCCTTCTGAATGGTTAGTTTTTGAACATCCTAACATAATTACGACATATATTAATTATTACGAAATGGAACATCCTGAAATAACAGCTGTACCATCACTTATCAATGAAGAGTTTACCCAGATGGAGAAATCTGAAAGTAAATTTACTCATGATGAATTATCGATAAAGTAGGTTTGCTAATATGGACTCTCTAAACTTAAAATAGAACAAAATTGTTTGAATCAGAGCAAGATTATACATCCTCCATATTTTCTCTTTGTGATAACTTTGAGGAAGATCGTGAAGAATCCAAGGAGACCCCTCAGAGCGACCAGTCCCTCTATTTAAACTACAGAGAATGAATTTTGGATAAAACAGCAGATATTGGTGGAAGAAAGAAGTCCCTAGATGTCCCTGTAGATAGTCTGAAGCTAGATGAGTCTTTGACAGAATTTAGGCAGAACATCTTGAATATTAGGAAAAAGCTAAAGAAATCTAAGTCTAAGGGAAAAGGTAAGAGATAGATTGACAATGACTGATTGTTTTCTATAGAATCAAAGATATTTACAGCCAACACTACTATTTTCCAAATTCCTCCTACTTTCTATACAGAAATTGTCAAAGGAGTTTACTTTAACGACACGAAGAAGACAGTTCTTCTTGAAGAGATTGCAGCGAATAGGAATGACTATGAATACATGAAAGACCTCAGACAAGATATAGGTATGCTATTTGAATGTCATTAGGCCAGACATAGTTAGTATGTTCTATAAAAACCATCCCTATTATCATTACTTTGTCTGGCAGAATGCTGATCACCTAAGTTTGATACTTTAAACCTATCAAAAATGAGTCTAATTCTTTTATCTTTCTGACAAACCTTAACCACTATTTCTAGGACAAGGGAAATTCATGAATTTTGAAACCTTTAATGGAGATATTCTCACTGTTCACAAGAGTAAGTCAGATAACTTTTCAAAGGCTCTCATGATGCCCCTATCTCAACTACATGAAACTAAACTATTTTTTAGATATGGTCAATATCTTCAAAAATGAATTTGATGAGGAAGAGGACTCAAGTGAAAATAAATTCGCCTTCCTCTCTGAGCAAGGCCAGATTGGAACAGACAACATTGATTTCTCAGACAAAGGAGCCTTGCTTAAGAGGCAGAGAGAAATTTTGAAGAGAATAGATGAACATCGGAAGACTAAGGAAGCTACATTCTCTCCATTCAGCACTATCGGATCAGGACTTAAGACATGGTTCATTATTCTCTGTCAAGGAGGAAAGTTCTGAATGGCAAAAATTCAAGGAGATACAATCATTGAGCATAAAAGTGATTCGAAATATGTCCAAAGAAAGAAAGCAGGGAAAAGACAAATTAATTTTGACAAAACTTCTTCCTGCATGACCTCTGTTGGATCTCAGATGAGAAGAAATAATGAAAGACTTCATCAGGAGCATATTGAAGAGACCTTAAGATATTACAAAGAAGACCTTGAGTCTTCAGATTTAGTCCTCCTTCATGCTCCAGGGGTAAACAAGCTGTTCTTTGTTGGACCAGATAAACCATTAAGAGATCTAAGAAGCAAAGTTAAGACCTTAAATCTTCAAATCACCACTGCTAACTACACCGAACTGAAGAAGGCTTTTGAGAAAGTAATTGAATTGAAGATTAATTTTAACTCTAATTAACTCTTAATAATTACTCAACAAAAAGAAATAAATTAGGGGTTTTGGGGTTTTGGGGTTTTGGGGTTTTGGGG